AAGATAAACCACGACATTGATAGCATAAGACCAAAGAGATAGAAGGAGAGATGTCTGATGTAAAAGTGTAAGGCCTGTCTCAACGATGTGACGATGACAATGTTCAGCCGAAGCTACATGCTTTGGTGTGTATGGAAGAGAGATCAAATGTTGAATCCCAGAATTCGCAAACATAGTTTTTAAACCTTGGTATTCTGTGCCACCATCAAAATAAATTGTATTTATAGATGTTTTGAAAAAAATTTCAATCATGGTTTTAAACTTTGGAAATAAAGAGAAAACATCAGTTTTATTTGCCATAGGAAATAACTATGAATATTTTGTATAGCGATCTACAAAAATGACATAGTAAGAATGGCCATCCATTGAACAAATAGGGGATTGACCCCAAACATCCGTATATAATAGATCTAAAGGACATCGACTTTTTAAGTTTGATACACCAAAAGGTAGTTTCTGACTTTTGTTACAATGACAAGAGTCACAAAAAAACATGTTTGACAAATTCTGACTTGATTGCATAGGGAGTTTATTAGAGGACACAATTTGACGAAGGACTTTTGATGACGGGTGACCAAGGCGATCATGACAACTATCAAGAGGAGTCTTAACACTGTAACACGCTTGCTTTGTCACCGGATGGATCTCCCCGGGGCTTGACCACTCGTACACTTCATTCTTGCTCTGTCCTTGAGCGAGATGTGCCCCCGTGGCTAGATCCTTAACACAAAAGGAAGAAGAGTAAAATTCAGTTGATGTATTATTAGTTTTTCAAAATTGGGATACTAAAATTAAATTTTGTTTCATGGATGGAACACATAAAACATTTGAAAGTGAAAAGGAATTAGTAGGAGTGGTGAGAGTGGATTTTCCAGTGTGTTATATGCAAACCTGTACCATCACCAATTATAATATCGTCAAGTCCTTTGTAAGGCTGCTGAATTGAGAGATTGTTCAAATTAGAGGTGACATGGTGAAAAACACCTGTGTCAAGCAGCCAGTTAGAACTTGAGCCACGACCACTACTTGTGGTTGTGTGATTGGCTCAAGGCGGCACGAGCAGGCCAAGTTGACGTTTCAAGGAGAAGCACCCACGAGCATTGTGACATCTGTGTTCACAGTATTGACATATCAATGGAGAGCCTTTGGTGGACTTCGTTCCTTGATTATTGTTGGTGGGATAGGAGTTTCCCTGATGATTGTTGGTGTTAGCATAGTGCTGACCACCTTGGTTGCTGCGGTTGTGAGAGTATTTTCTTTGAGATTGATTTCCATGTCGCTGTTGATTGAAAAGAGCACCATTAGCAGTCATAACAATAGAGCTGCTTTCTTTATGCTTGAGGAAGGATTCATATTCCACAAACTTGTCGTGAAGCTCTTCAAAGCCTATGACAGTGTGTCTCGCGCTCTAATTGCAACAGCGAGTTCCATAAATTTGGGCCAACTCCATTTTGAACACGAAGAATAAGGGTGGTGGTTGGTACTGGTGAGCCAATGATGGCAAGTTCATCGGCAATGCTGCAAATGAAGCCGAGATATTCAACAGTAGATCTTGTTCCTCATCCTTTAGAGAGTTAATCTATTAGCCCCATAACTCAAGAGGATGATAGATTAGCATAATATTTTGCAAGGCGATTCCACGCCTCAATAGGAGTTTTTGATGAACNAACTTGTTCCTTATCCTTTAGAGAGTTGATCTATTAGCCCCATAACTCAAGAGGATGATAGATTAGCATAATATTTTGCAAGGCGATTCCACGCCTCNATCTTGTTCCTCATCCTTTAGAGAGTTAATCTATTAGCCCCATAACTCAAGAGGATGATAGATTAGCATAATATTTTGCAAGGCGATTCCACGCCTCAATAGGAGTTTTTGATGAACTGATCATTGGTATCACTTGATTAGAGAGAGGAGAGAATACCATGAAAAAGAAGCTTGTCTTGTCTTTGCCATAGAATAAACTCTGGATTGGGAATTTGTTTTCCTTCATTTGTCAACTTAGCAGGTGGACAAGGCTTTGATCCGTCGATATATCCGAGTAGATGGTAGCCAAAGAGTAATGAATCAAACTGAGCCTCCCATGAAGGATATTTCTCTAGATTAACTTAATAAGCATTTGTGTTGAGTTGAGAACAATGAGATTGTTTTGGCTAGGAGATGAAGATGTGGTTGTGCTCTTTTTAGTCATGATGAAAAAAAATTCAATGAAGAAGAAGACAGGTTTAGAANCTCATGAAGGATAGTTCTCTAGAATTAACTTAATAGGCAATTGTGTTGAGTTGAGAACAATGAGATTGTTTTGGCTAGGAGATGAAGATGTGGTTGTGCTCTTTTCAGTCATGATGAAAAAAATTTCAATGAAGAAGAAGACAGGTTTAGAATTGTTTTAGAAGACTCGTGGGAGCATGTTATGCTCTGATACCATAAAGGAGCCAAACCAGTTTGGAGAAAATAAAAATGGTGAAGATATATTTTATTGATACTATGAGCAAGTATTTATTTATATATAAAATATACAAGTCAGGATAAGGAAAGTCAATTGTATAGATACTAAAAATAAGGGATTGGATTGACATATACAAGTAGTGAATTAAGGGGATGAGGCTGTGATTGTGGGTCAGGAAAAGGAGAGGTCTTCTTTCCTAATATAAAGGAGTCAAACTAGTTTGGAGAAAATAAAAATTATGAAGATATATTTTATTGATACTATTAGAAGATATTTATATATAAAATATACAAGCTAGGATAAGAAAAGTCAATTGAAGTGCAATCATCACGATTGTTTGCCCAATCGGCATCAGAGTAAGCAATGAGGCAGAGGGGTCATAAGCGTTGGAGGACCAACCCGTATGAGAATGTGTGCTTTAGGTAACGGAGAGACGCGTGGCAGTAGTCCAGTGTGTTTGTGTAGGGGCATGCATACACTGAGCTAGCTTATTGACGGTGTAGGCAAAGTCAGGCCGAGATAGTGAGAGATATTGTATACCACCAATCAAGTTGCGGTAGTTGGTGTTGTCGGCGGCAACTGTACCATCTGAAAGAATCAAGTAGGTAGAAGAGCTGATTAGTGTCACGGATTCCTTCATGCCTTCCATGTTGAAATGTGTAAGAAGATCATAGACATATTGATGCTGGGACAAAAATAATCCATGGCTATTGGATATGACTTCAACCCCAAAAAATAATGAAGGTAACCTAGGTCTTTGATGGAGAATCGATTGGAGAGATCCTCAATAATTTTTTTGATAAAGATTGACAAATTCCCTGTAATTAATAAATCATCAACATAAACAAGAAAGTACACAATGAGATTGCTGTTAGAATATATAAAGAGGGAGGTGTCACTCTTGGAGTTGGAAAAACCAAGAGAGAGAATGAAATTCTTCAGTTCTTGAAACCAAGCGCGAGGCGCTTGCTTGAGACCATAAAGGGAACAGTGAAACTGACAAACATGATGAGGTTGATTGCTATCAACAAAGCCTGGGGGTTGGGACATAAACACCTTGGATAAATGCCCATGTAGAAAGGCATTATTTACATCCAATTGATGAATTGGGCAGCCATGAGAAAGAGCAAGAGTGAGAACAATGCGAATAGTAGTAGGCTTGATAACGGGGTTGAATGTTTCATGATAGTCAATACTGGGATGTTGGTTGGAACCATCGGCAACAAGTCAAGCTTTGTAGCAATCAATGCTACCATCAGCTTGTCACTTAACTCGAAAGACCCACTTGCACTCAACGATATTCTGATTGGATTGGTGGGGAACAAGTTCTCAGGTTCCATTCCAAATGAGAGCATTGAGCTCTTCACACATGGATGCTCTCCATTGGGGATTGGCGAGGCCTTGAGAAATTGAGATAGGTTTTAAGGTTTGAGAAAGAGGGTGTTCAGAAATAGCATAGGAAAATTTGGTTAAAGGTTTGAAAATATTGTTCTTGGAACATGTGGTCATGGTCAAGAATCTAAATGTCGTGTCAAAACGTCTGAAACATTTCAGAATTTCAACACACCGATACAAAATATAAGTTGAATCCCAAAATTTCAAAGTTTCGGTTGAAACGTTAATGTGTCGGACCGTTTTGGTCGAAACATTACCGTTTCGGTCAAAATAGTACAATTTTTAGGAAACAGTGATCATAAAAAGCTAAAGATTCGCTTCAGGCCAAAGGAAAAAAAAAAACTCTTAGAAAGCTAAAGATTCCACAAACAAGTTAGAATTCACAGGTCTTACAAGCTCAGAAATCACATGTCGTTCAGGTCTTCCAAGCCAAAAAAAAAGAAAAAAGAGAAGAGAGATAGAAAGACAATCGAAAAGACAAAGACTATAGACCAAAAATTAAAGGAATAAAGATTCAATAACTTACCTCCTTGAGTAGATCCAACCATTTTTAACCAGATCTAGGGCTTAGGAGTTGTCTTCATCGCCGCGAGCTATCACTAACCACGAGCAACCACTGGTATCTCTTCTTCTTATTCTTTTCTCTCTCTCTCTCTCTATGGCACCGGCATCGCTAGTCGCCCATCGCCAGCCGCCTCCTCTCTGTCGCATCTTATCTCTCAAAGTCGTTGTGGGTGTAAACTGTGCGTCTTCTACCTTATATATATATATATATTTAATACCCTATTATAATTACATTTAATGTAGCTATATAAGTATGTACTCATTAGCATTTCATGTGTATTATGAGACCTTAATATTATGTAAAAATGTGTTTATTTGATGAAAATTAAGTGTTTGAAACGAATTTAAGTGATTTTTGCCTCATGTCAAGCCTTTTTTTCTCTCCAATTTAAATTTATTCTTATATAAGTGGATGTTAACCCAATAAATATGTTGAATTAATCAATTATTTAGCTTATCTTTATAAATTAATAAATTATATTTGTGTTTCCATGTGTTTATATATTTTTTTTGTATTTTCATTGCGTTTTCGAAACATTTCTGTTTTTGAGCTGACTGAAACGGTACTTTGAAATGAAATTTCGATCCTTGGTCATGGTATGGATGTTGGGAGGGTCTACGGCTGTGAGGGAGGTAAGAGATGGAGAGGTATCAAACCTTGGAGCACTATTACTCATAAAGGAAGCAATAGACGTGTCGATTGGAGAAGTTTCCAAGTTGAGATTCATAACCAATGGAGGGTTGCCAGCGTGTACAGTGTCAGGAATAGTGGGAGACTTGGATTGGAAAGAGTCATCAAACCTGGACAAAGATGAAGAGGAAGGTGTCAGGGACTCGGAATGGAAAGGAGTAGATTTGTCATGAGATTGAGAGGAGTCATGATTTGTGGGAGGTTGATGCATTGAAGGGGATGAGATACCATGTTCGTGCTGAATGGATGAAGGAGAATTAATTGGGATAAGGTCGGGTAAGTCGTGGGATGAGGTTGTTGGAGAAAAATGTGGGGAACTGGAAAAGGGAAGTGGCGAATTTAGGAGAGGGGAAGGAGGTAAATGGGGTGACACAATTGGGAAAGAGTTGTCGAAATGGAATGATGTAAGGGAAGGAGAGATTGATGCCCATTTTGAAAAAGTGAAATCATTAACTTTGTCATACTTATTTAAGGGAGATAAAGAGGAAAAGTGATTTCAATAAAGCGAACATGGCGGGAAAAATAAATTTTGTGATTCGTGGGTTCAAAACAAATAAGAATTGTGAACATTTGAATAGCCCTAAAAAAGACAGGACTTGGACCCCTGTTCGAGCTTATGATGATGGTAGGGCCGAAGCCATGGATAACAAAGGCACCCAAAAACTTTCAATTTAGAATAATTGGGCAAAGTATGAAATAGACATTCAAATGGCGATTTATTATCAAGTATCGACATAGGAAGTCGATTAATAACATAAACCGCGGCATTGAAAGCATAAGACCAAAGAGATAGAGGGAGAGATGTCTGATGTAAAAGTGTAAGGCCTGTCTCAACGATGTGACGGTAACGACATTCAGCCGAACCTACATGCTTTGGTGTGTATGGAAGAGAGATCAAATGTTGAATCCTAGAATTTGCAAACATAGTTTTTAAACCTTGGTATTCTGTGCCACCATCAGAATAAATTGTATTTATGGATGTTTTGAAAAAATTTTCAATCATGGTTTTCAACTTTGGAAATAAAGATAAGACATCAGATTTATTTGCCATAGGAAATAACCATGAATATTTTGTATAATGATCTACAAAAATGACATAGTAAGAATAGCCATCCATTAAACAAATAGGGGATGGACCCCAAACATCCATATATAATTGATCCAAAGGACATCGACTTTTTAAGCTTGATACACCAAAAGTTAGTTTGTGACTTTTGTTACAACGAAAAGAGTCACAAAAAACATGTTTGACAAATTCTGACTCGATTGCACAGGGAGTTTATTTGAGGGCACAATTTGACGAAGGACTTTTGATGATGGGTGACCAAGGTGATCATGCCAATGATCAAGAGGAGTCTTGACACCGTAACACACTTGCTTCGTCACCAGATGGATCTCCCTGGTGCTTGACCACTCGTACACTTCATTCTTGCTTCGTCCTTGAGCAAAAGGTGCCCCTGTGGCAAGATCCTTAACACAAAAGGAAGAAGGATAAAATTCAACTAAGGTATTATTAGTTTTGAAAAATTGGGATACTGAAATTAAATTCTAATTCATGAATGGAACTAGTAGGAGTGGTGAGAGTGGATTTTCCAATTTGTGTAATATGCAAACCTGTACCATCACCAATTATAATATCGTCGGGTCATTCGTACGACTGATGAATTGAGATATTGTTCAAATTAGAGGTGACATGGTGAGAAGCACCTGTGTCAAGAAGCCAGTTAGAACTTGAGCCACGACCACTACCTGTGGTTGTGTGATTGGCTCTAGGCTGCACGAGCTGGCCGAGTTGACGTTTCAAGGAGAAGCACTCACAAGTATTGTGATCTCTGTGTTCACAGTATTGACATATCACTAGAGAGCCTTTTGGTGGAGTTGGTTCCTTGATTATTGTTGGTGGCATAGGAGTTTCCCTGATGATTGTTGGTGTTAGCATAGCGCTAACCACCTTGGTTGTTGCGGTTATGAGAGTATTTTCTCTGAGATTGATTTCCATGTCTCTGTTGATTGAAACGAGCAACGTTAACAGTCATAACAATAGAGCTGTTTTCTTCACTCTTGAGGAAGGGATTCATATTCCACAAGTTTGTCCTGAAGCTCTTCAAAGCCTATGACAATGTCTCGCGCTCTAATTGCAGTAGCAAGTTCCCTAAAATCAGGGCCAACTCCATTCATAATATGAAGCATGAGGGTGGTGGTTGGTACCGGTGAGCCAATGATGGCAAGTTCATCGGTGACGCTGTGAATGAAGCTGAGATATTCAGCAATAGATCTTGTTCCTCGTCCTTTAGAGAGTTGATCTGTTAGCCCTATAACCTGAGAGGATGATGTATTAGCATAATATTTTGCAAGGCGATTCGACGCCTTAATAGGAATTTTTGATGAACTAATCATTGGTATCACTCGATCAGAGAGAATACCATGAAAGAGAAGCTAGTCTTGTCTTTGCCATAGAATAAACTCTAGATTGGGAATTTGTTTTCCTTCATTTTTCAACTTAGCAGGTGGACAGGGCTTCGATCCATCAATATATTCAAGCAGATCGTAGCCAAAGAGCAGTGAATCAAACTGAGCCTCCCATGAAGGATAGTTCTCTAGAGTTAACTTAACAGGCAATTGTGTTGAGTTAAGAACAATGAGATTGCTTTGGCTAGGAGATGAAGATGTGGTTGTGCTCTTTTCTGTCATTATGAAAAAAAAAATTCAATGAAGAAGAAGACAGGTTTAGAATCGTTTTAGAAGACTCATGGGAGCTTGTTATGCTCTGATACCATAAAGGAGCCAAACCAGTTTGGAGAAAATAAAAATGGTGAAGATATATTTTATTGATACTATGGGCAAATATTTACTTATATATAAAATATACAAGTTAGGATAAGGAAAGTCAATTGTATAGATCCTAAAAATAAGGGATTGGATTGACATATACAAGCAATGAATTAAGGTGATGAGACTGTGATTGTGGATCGTGATGAGGAGAGGTCTTCTTTCCTAATAGTTTGCTCTAAAGAACATAAAAACATTCGTTTTAACAAAAATTAAAGATTGAAGAAAAAAAATGACGAATTTTTTAAATTTGTGTTTAACTTGAAGAAATAAAAGAAAATTTTGATGGGTTGACTTAAGGTTTATATACTATGAAAGATGGGTGAGATTAGGATTTTAAAAAATACAAGAAATCAAAAAATGGAAGATGAAAAGGAAAAAAACTTACCTACAGACTTTCAAATGATTTGTGAAAGTTTCGGTGGTGGTCGGCGATGAAAGCAGCGTAGTAAGAAAAGCCAAGATGAGGTAGAGAACAAGTTGTCGAAGAAATTTGTTAGTTTTGGATAGGATAAAAAGTTACTAGAAATTTGGTATACAATTTGAGTCTGCTTCAATTTGAGTTTAAAATAAGTTTTGCTTTAATTTGGTATATGTTTGAGTGCAAAGTTGGAGAAGTTTTTTCGGCCATTTTAACTCCAATTTAAATTTGAGTCTACATTTGAGTTAAAGTTAGAAATACTCTAAAAGCAAAAGAAATGGTGTTTGCGTAGGAAACCTAGAACTCGCTTTTTTCTTTTAGAGGAGGGTTTCATTCTAATAATTATGGATGGCAATTTTTAAATGCAGGTTTTAATTACTACTAGGTAACTACAAACATGGACGTAGACTATGGTATTTTTGGAAAGATTAAATTGTCTCCTACATAACAAGGACTTTGAAATACATGTATTCAAGAAGACTACTTGGCAGATTTCTTGAATATTAAAATGATAGAGATAGGCTATTCAAGAGGTATGACAGTTATAAATCTCTACGATATTACGACAAAATTTTAATCAGGCAAGACTTCCTATAGCCTGGAAATTCTTGGAAATGATAGTAACTTCATCTTATGTTGGTACCATTCCTTCAAAAAAAATCAAAATAAACCACCTAAAGTTTGATGGTCATAAGCACCACCTAATTCCAATCCAATTCAACTAAAAAATATGTGTTGAGTGAGGATTGTCCTTGGCTCTGATTTACCACTCCTCAGGTATGGGAAACTATAAAAACTCAATTTTGTTATGCAAAAGATACAAAAAATCAATCCTTGAACTTAAGGACAAGTTAATATACTGAAAGCGGTGAAGTGACCCATCTAAGTCTCATATTGATATATCTAACTCGATTTATTAACTCCTCCAATTGGAAATGAGGAACGTACTCCTACTGCTCGGTGATACAAAAAATTGAAATTACAATAGAATAAAAAATGACTTCACGAAATCTTCACCTCATTGAACCAGATGTCGGCTATCTTTAAGAGAATGAAATAGAGGAAACCAAAGAATATGAGGAGGAATTCAACACATCAACTTTTTACATTTCCAACAACTGCCACTTCTTCAAAAAGCAACACTTTGAGATCTCAAACAAACCACAACATAAATGAAAACCACTATATCTCAAGAAAAATAAAACTTAGAATCCAAATAGCTCAATCCAATGTAAAATCATCAAAAAAAGGGTTTTAAGACTAGATCAAACTACCCTAAATACCATGTAGTACGTTGCAAAGAAAGAGAGAACTTACATCAACCAAAGCCCCACCCCTGGATCACAAAACACACAGAGAGATAGAGGGGGTTA